CTCTGAGGATGTGTCCTCTTTTTCTAGTTCAAGGACAATGCCTCTGTTCATGCTTGATCCCGTCTCTTTTTCCTTTCCTCTGAGTCTTTATGACATCACTTTTTTTTTTCTTCTATTAGGCGGAACCATATTAAATTGCTGTTTGCAACATCTGGCAATGGTGGAACAGTGGGAACTTCATGCGTGTGGTTCAAGTTAATACAACTTCATTCCTTTTTTTTTTTTAGAGACGGGGTTTCACCATGTTGGCCAGGCTGGTCTCAAACTCCTGACCTCAGGTGATCCATCCTTCTTTGCCACCTACAGTGCTGGGGTTACACGCATGAGCCACTGTGCCCGGCCCCTACATCTTCATTCTTTTCCTCTCTAAATGTTCCTTCTCTTCAACCAAAGCCAATTACAACAAAACATCCTTGTACAGGTAAGAGTAAGCTCTCTATATATTGTGTTTTGAATTTAACACATGTGTCCCTGCATGTAAAACCTAGACACCATACCTCAGGTATACCAACCTTTGCTGTTCATATCTCCCAGCTGACAATTCACCCAGTAAGTATTTACCAAGGATGTGGCATGTTCATGAAACATTTATTCACTCACCTGACAAATATCTTCTGAGCATGTACACTGTGTCAGGTGGTATTCTAAGCACTCAAACATTATCTTGAACAAAGATCCTTTTGCTCTTAAAGTTTATATTCTAGCAGGGGTGGAAAGGAGACAATGTACAATAAAGAAACATAATAATTAAGAATACTGGCCAGGTGCCGTGGCTCACGCCTGTAATCCCAGCACTTTGGGAGGCTGAGGCAAGCAGATCCAAGGTCAGGAGATCAAGACCATCCTGGCTAACATGGTGAAACCCTGACTCGACTAAAAATACAAATTACCCGGGCGTGGTGGCGCGCACCTATAGTCCCAGCTACTCAGGAGGCTGAGGCAGGAGAATTGCTTGAACCCGAAAAAAAAAAAAAAAAAAAAACGAGAAAAGGAAAAAGGAGAAAGTTAAGAAGGGAGATGGGGAGTGCTGGGAGGAGGAACTATAATTTTATTTATTTATTTATTTCAGATGGAGTCTTGCTCTGTCGCCCAGGTTGGAGTGCAGTGGCTTGATCTTGGCTCACCGCAACCTCTGCCTCCTGAGTAGCTGAGATTACAGGTGCGCCCCACCATGACCAGCTAATTTTTGTATTTTTAGTAGACGCGAGGTTTCACCATCTTGGCCAGGCTGGTCTAGAACTCTTGACCTCGTGATCCATCCACCTCAGCCTCCCAAAGTACTGAGATTACAGGCGTGAACCACCTCACGTGGCTGGAACTATAATTTTAAATATGATGGTCACTGTAGGCCTTTTGGAAAAGGTAACAATTAAGCAAAGACTTGAAGGAGAAGAAGGATAAGTTATCTGGGGAAAGTGTTCCAGGCAGAGTAAACAGCAAGTACAAAGAACCTGAGGCAGGAAAACTAAAGAAAGAAGAGAATAGTAGGAAATAAAGACATAAAGGTAACAGAGATCCAGATAGTTTAGGATCTTTCTATTAAGCATCTACTGCTATGTAATAAATTGTCCTAAAATTTGGTTATTGACCACAATACACAGGACTTCAAGAGTGGCTTGGCTTGGGGGTTCTGGCTGTGGGTCCCAAGAGGCTGCAGTTTCTGAAACCTGTGCCTGAAGATTCTTCCAAGGCGGTTCACTCACATGGTTGGCAAATTGGTGCTAGTTGTTGATGGAGGAAGTAGAGATGAGGAGAGGGGAAGGACTTCGATTCTGTTTGTGTGGGTCTATCCACCTGCTGTTTTTTTTTTTTTTTTTTTTAAGGCTAGTGAAGTAAAGGAGTGGGAGTTGAGAAGGAAGAAATTCGTAACTAGTTGTGATCAATTGGTTGTAAACACCACTTCACTCAGACCAGCCTCCACATGCAGTTTGAGTATCCTCCTGATGACAGCTGGCTTACCCTACAGCAACCAATCCAAAAACAGAGCAAGGCAGATACCACGATGCCTTTTATGGCCTGGTCTTGTAAGTCACGTGCTAACGTTTCTACCATATACTACTGATGACACAGTCAGCCCCGGTTCATTATAAAAGAGAACTACTCTGGGGTGTAAATAGCAAGAGGTGAAGGCCATTGGTGGTCATCTTGGTGGCTGGCTATATAACCTTGGTAGGTAATTATAAATCTGTGGCTTTTACTTTGAGGGAAATGGGAAACCAATTAAGGGATCTGAGCAGTGAAATGACAATAATCTGACATATTTCATGAGGATAACTCTGGCTGTTGTGTGAATAGACTGGAGAGGAGCAAGAACGTAAGCGGGAGACCATTGAGAAGGCTATTACAGTCCGAGAGAGATGCACAAGGGTCATAACGGTGGAGTCAAGAATTGGTGATATTCTGGATATATTTTGAAGATAGAGATGACAAGATTTGCGGATGGATTGGATGTGGGATATGAGAGGAAGGAATTAAAGATGACTTCTAAGGGGTTTGGAGGAATGGGAATCACAAAAATGAGTTCAACATCGATCTTGCCATAAAGGAGCTTATAACATAGGTGAGACAAGGTGTGTACACAAGTGGCTATACTACCTGGCAGAAAGCACCGTGCTCCATACTAGAGGCACAAATTTAAGTGCCAAGCATAATGAAAAAGTTCTGGAGATGGTTGCACAACAAAGTGAGTGTACTTATTGCCACTGAAAAATGGTTAAAACGGTAAATTTTATTTATTTATTTATTTTTATTTATTTATTTAGGTGGAATCTCACTCTGTCATCCAGGCTGGAGTACGGTGGCATGATCTCGGCTCACTGCAGCCTCTGCCTCCCCAGTTCCAGCGATTCTTCAGCCTCAGCCTCCCAAGTAGCTGGGATTACAGGCACGTGCCACCACACCCGGCTAATTTTTGTATTTTTAATAGAGACTGGGTTTCACCATGTTGGTCAGGCTGGACTCGAACTTCTGACCTCAGGTTATCCACCAGCCTCCGCCTCCCAAAGTGCTAGGATTACAGGCGTGAGCCACCACGCCCAGTAGAAACAGAAAATTTTAGGTTACGTACGTTTTACCAGAAGAAAAAAACAGTGCTTAAAAAAAGGCAAAAACAAAAATTCGAGAAATGCCACTAGAGTTCAGAGCATTAAGAGATTAACCTCAGCTAAGAAAATCAGAGAAGGCTTTGTATACAGGCAGTCTTTTTCTTTCTTCTTTTCTTTTCTTTTTTTTTGAGACGGAGTCTCGATCTGTCGCTCAGGCTGGAGTGCAGTGGTGCGATCTCGGCTCACTGCAACCTCCGCCTCCAGGGTTCAAGCGATTCTCCTGCCTCTTGAGTAGCTGGGACTACAGGCATGCCCCACCAAGCCAGGCTAATTTTTGTATTTTTAGTAGAGACGGCGGTTTCACCATGTTGGTCAGACTGGTCTCGAACCCCTGCAGGGATTACAGGCGTGAGCCACCACGCCCAGCCACCGACAGTCTTTTCTCGCAGGCAGAGGGAGCAGTTTGAGCAAATTAGCCTAAGGCAGGAAAACTGAGAATGGGCGGGGCACAAGGAGTAGTTCTGATTTGTTAGAAGATAGGGTAGTGTGCCCAAGGGGAGAATAAACAGGAAACTAAGGAGTTTTAAGAAAATTATTTCCTCTCCTCCCTCCAAGTTCCCTAGTTGTGAAGGGAGGATCATAAGTATCTTGCATCACTTGATTTCGTTTGAAATGAAATATTCAGAATCCATCCTCTCACTATATTACCCTTTAAGATTCCATGTTTCTGAAACAAAAATTCCTATGTTGATCTGACAATCTTACAACGCATTTGAAATAAATCCAGGGTAGGACCAGCATTTTATGTTCACAGACTTCCTTTGTTTCCTGTACATCTGCTTTCTTTTTCCTCTATTAATTTTCCATTCACCTCCAAATCTTAACCCCCCGCCATTCTCCCAGGGTCTCCGTTTCTCGTCATCCCTTTCATCTTTCCCTTCTTGGAAACAGATCCGATTCTAATCTCAGTTACTTTGTTTATTAGCCGCCGGATGTTGGGATAGTTATCCCCTCTGGGCCTCAGTTTCTTTTGTAAAATTATACCCCCCAAAACAGTGTTTATTTTACAGGGTTGTCAACATTACAACAAAGAACAGGTTACAGGCCTAACACAGTACCTGATCTATAGTAAGAACTCAACATTTTTGCCCCTTCTCCCACCTCTTTTCCGTCCTTTTACTCTCCTCCCCTATTCCTCAACCCCAGAGCCCAATAGGTAAAAACCGTGGGAAAAAACCGTCCTTGAGGCTAAAAGAAGAAACGCTGGAGCTAGGGGCGGAGACTACGAGGTGCTCACTGCGCATGTGCGCCCGCTAGGTCAGCTTCTGGGTTCCAGCTGGGACGCGGGGGGGGGGAAGGTGGGGGCGCGGGTGGAGGTTACGAGGGCCTCATTTTTCTTTTTCTTACTGCCCCCTTCCGGTTTGGGGAGGTGGCGGGACCTTGGCGGCGCCCGGAGCGAGTGCGGCACTCATCGAGGGACGCGCGGCCCAAAAGGTAAGTTGGAAAATGGCGGAGGGGGGAGGAAGAAGGAGGGGCTTTGCAGGGCAGGAGGCTGACCTCCCGGCCAGGGGTGGGAAGGACACTGCCGCGGCCCAGTGGCGCTGCCCGGGCCGGGAGACTGACGGACCGCACCCGGTATCTTTTTGAGCCCCTGATGTGGACGCACTTAGGGTTTCGCGACTCCGGGTTTCTCCAGGGGATGGGCCAGCCAGTGGAGGCGCGTGAGGGAGACGAAGGGACTTCCGTTTCCTTCACCTAGGCTGGGGCCAGGCCGCAGAGCGGAGTTGGCTTTTCCAGATTGGGGCTTGGGCCGCGCCCCCTCCGGGACCCTCCCCTTGGACCGAGCCGATCGCCGCGGGCAGTTGGGGCCGGCTGTCCTGGCGCGGTGGGTACAGCTGTATAGGCTTTCCCCTCCCCCGCTTTCCCTCCTACCCCTCTCCTTCCCTCCCGTCTCTTTTCCCCTCCACTCTCCTCGGGCCTGCGCTGCTGGGGAGGGCGGGAAGGCCGCGGCTGCCCGGCAGGGGTGGCCCGGCCTGGGCTGCTTGCCCGGGTTCCCCGGACTGTCGACGGAAGGCGTGGGTGGGTGGGTGACCTCAGGCCCGCGGACTGCCTTCCTAAACCCTGTGACATCTAAGGTAAATTGAGGCAGAGAACTTTTTAAATATGATCAAAGGGATTTTCTCCCCATGTGATACCTGTGGCTTGTGTGGAGCAGGGTGGAGTGTGTCTGGAGTGGGCGTAAGAAACCGAAAGAATAAGGGCCAAAGAGCTTCCAGAAGAGGAAATTAGCTAATGATTCTTTCCAATGTGCTTTCCCAGTCACCTTTCCAGCATGTTCTGTAAAACAAAATGTCAGTTTGACTTCGTTTCATCGTTTTAACTCCATAACACTTAAATTGTTTTCTTTTCGGGAAGGGAATTGTTTCTTTTCAAACTAAGTAGTAGCCCTCTCCACCTCCAAAAAATGAAAAAATGTCAATCAAAGCTTTGTTAAAAAAAAAAAAAATTCAGATTTTAATAATCTACTACTTTGCTTTCAAATATAATTATGTCAATAGTTCTGTCACAACTATACTTTGATAGTTTGATGACTCACAGAAATTTACTCTTGGAAGACTGCAGGTTGCAGTAGTGTTTCTTTCTTGTTATCTTTTTTTTTTCCCCATAATGTTTATTACAGCCGGCGCAAGAGAACAATGTTACCGACGGCCATCTTAGAATTAAAACGTTTTAGAGTTGGAAGGGATCTTAGTCAAACCCCTGTCCTTTTACAAAAGCAGAAACAACTGCTTAAGGAAGATTTCATGGCTTGCTTAAAACTATTGAACTAGTTAGATTAGAACCCATGTTATCTGGCTTCTTGCCCACCACCCTTTCTGCGCAATTGCTCCATATCGCCTCCAGGCATGAAAATTAAATGTATTCAATTCAACACTCATTTCTGAAGAGTATAATACTTTGTAACAGTGACTGTGTCACCACTTTTCTGTGTATTTCAATGTATTTAACATGCGTATGGAGTACTTGAGATTTCTCCCACCCCCACATTCAAGAAGTGGCAACTGTCTAGATTTATACACACACCTTCACAGGTACATATGTATACTTGCATTTGCTTGGATAGTTTCTTGAAGGATACATAATAAAAAGGTTAACAGCAGTTATGAAGAAGAGAGGTAGAAGACTTTTTACTTTGCAGTAGTTCACATGACCTAATGTACTGTTTGAGTTTGTTATAAACTAGTATTGATTTTTTTTTTTTTTTTTTTTTTTTTGAGACGGAGTCTCATTCTGTCGCCCAGGCTGGAGTGCAATGGCGTGATCTTGGCTCACTTCAACCTACACCTCCTGGGTTTAAGCAGTTCTCTGCCTCAGCCTCCTGAGTAGTTGGGATTACAGGTGCATGCCACCACACCTGGCTAATTTTTGTATTTTTAGTAGAGATGAGGTTTCACCATTTGTCCAGGCTGGTCTTGAACTCCTGACCTCGTGATCCATCTGCCTTGGCCTCCCAAAGTGCTGGGATTACAGGTGTGAGCCACCGCACTTGGCCTCTAGTATTGTTTTATAATTGAAAAGAAGTTTTAAAGTTCACACCCCCCACACAAATATATATATATCTACATAAGCAAGTATATACCAATGGTATGTGCACATTTATATACATATATGTACTTATACATAGCAGTGGTTTATCCTGTAAAATCCAGTATGATTCCGGCCAACTCAGCTGACAAAGCAGCCCTCATTATTGGATACTTATGTTTGTTTTTCTTGTATTGCTCTCTCCTAATGTAGATGGTAAAAATAATGCTACTGGTTGTATATTTTTAGAAATTGTCCTAAGCTTCATTATCAAATAATGTAGCAAACTTTAACACATTCAGAATATCAAATTTGAGTACTTGCTTCCATAGCACACATACCAAAATTGTAACAATTCAAAGAAGATTAGCATGCTCCCTTTTTTTTTAAATTGAGACCGAATCTCACTCTGTCATCCAGTCTGGAGTGCAGTGGCATGATCTTGGCTCACTGCACCCCCCCCCCTCAGGTTCAAGCGATTCCCCTGCCTCAGCCTCCTGAGTAGCTGGGACTACAGGCGTGGGCCAGCATGCCTGGCTAATTTTTTGTATTTTAGTAGAGACGTATTTGTATTTAGTTTCATCATGTTGGTCAGGATGGTCTCGATTTCCTGACCTTGATCCACTCACCTCAGCCTCCCAAAGTGCTAGGATTATAGGTGTGAGACACCGTGCCCACCTCCGACTTTTATTTATTTATTTATTTATTTATTTATTTATTATTATTTAAAAGATGGGGTTTCACCATGATGGCCAAGGTGGTCATGAACTCCTGACCTCAGTTGATCCGCCCACCTCGGCCTCCCAAAGTGCTAGGATTATAGACGTGAGCTACTGCGCCTGGCCCTTTTTTTTTTTTTTTAAATAGAGTTTTGCTCTTGTTGCCCAGGCTGGAGTACAACGGCACAATCTTGGCTCACTGTGATCTCCGTCTCCTGGGTTCTATCAATTCTCCTGTCTCAACCTCCTGAGTAGTTGGGATTGCAGATGCATGCCACCATGCCTGGCTAATTTTTGTATTTTTTTTAGTAGAGACAGGGTTTCGTCATATTAGTTAGACTGGTCTCGAACTCCTAACTTCAGGTGATCCACACCCCTCAGCCTCCCAAAGTGCTGGGATTACAGGAGTGAGTTACCACATCCGGCCTTTTTTTTTTTCACCGTGATGGCCAGGCTGGTCTTGAACTCCTGATCTCAGGTGATCCACCCACCTCGACCTCCCAAAGTGCTAGTATTATAGGCGTGAGCCACCGCGCCCGGCCCCCACACCCGGCCAATTTTTGCATTTTTAGTAGAGACTGGGTTTCACCATTTTGGCCAAGTTGATCTCGAACTCTGGACCTGAGGTGATCCACCTGCCTCAGCCTCCCAAAGGGCTGGGATTACAGGCGTGAGCCATCTCGCCCATCTGGTCCCCCTTTTATTTTATTGTATTTTCTGAGATGGAGTTTTGCTCCTGTTGCTTAGGCTGGAGTGCAGTGGTTCGATCTGGGCTCACTGTAACCTCCACCTCCTGGGTTCAAGTGATTCTCCTGCCTCAGCCTCCTGAGTAGCTGGGATTACAGGCACCTGCCACCACACCTGACTAATTCAGTCCTCCTTCTCCCCCCCCCCTTTTTTTTTAATAAACAACAATAACTGCACAAATTTGACACTGGCCAGACACAGTGGCTCATGCCTGTAATCCCAGCACTTTGAGAGGCTGAGGTGGGCGGATCACAAGGTCAAGAGATAGAGACCATCCTGGCCAATATGGTGAAACCCCATCTCTACTGAAAATACAAAAATTAGCTGGGCGTGGTGGTAATCCCAACTACTTGGGAGGAGAATCGCTTGAGCCTGGAAGGCCGAAGTTGCAGCGAGCTGAGATTGAGCACTGCACTCCAGCCTGGCCACAGAGCAAGACTCTGTCTCAAAAAATTAAATAATTATTATGTGTAGAAAAAAGGAATCAGAAAAAATAATAAAATAAAAAGACTAAAACAGTTTGCAGTGATTAGGAGTTCAGCTGTCTAGTTTTCATAAATAGACTCAAGAAAAATGAATTGCCCACTGTCATATATCAGATTATTGGCAAAGCCTGGACTAGAGTCTGAGTTCTAGTCTAGTGGCCCTTGTACTATACCTGTAATTTTATTGCTTTCTAGTCCATTTGATGATTCTAACTAGGCTCACAAAGTGATGTTGTCTAAAGGTTAGCCAAGACCATTTCAATAGGTAAGAATTACTATTTTTTTCTTTGGTTTTTATTTTGTCTTGCTTTTTTTTTTTATTTTCAGGAAGTGAGCAGTTTCTCAAAATTATTATAATTAATGGATCAGCTAATTTGTATAGTGCTTAAAATGTTTTAGTAACATAAATTTTACTAAATTCACTAACTTAGTAAATAAATGTTCCCGTTTTATTTCATTGTAAACATTAGTTTATTTAGTAAATCCTCTGTTTATATTGTAAATGCTTAGAGATACCAAATGTAAAATAATGATATTTCACTGTTTTTGTTTGGTCTAATATTTAAGTCTGGCAGGTAGTATTAGCAGAGGGCAAAACCTATAGTTTATGAAATAAACATTCACTGAGCATCTAATATGTTCCAGGCATTGTAGTATGTGGTAGGATTCCAAAGATAAATATGGCAAAACAGATGCCTCTTCTTCTTTTTTTTTTTGCTTTGTTTTTTTGTTGTTATTTTGCTTTTTGTATCTTTTTTGTTTGTTTGTTTTCCTATCGTTCTTTTGAGGCTGGGAGATTATCGTGAGCTGTCAATTCTCAAGCTTTGTGAGTTAATCTGGTAATAGTATTATGAAATGTAACCTGTTAGCACTATTAAAGGTCATTGTGTGAGTAGATATGAGGAGACAGAAACAGTAGTGATCAGATAAAAAATACTTTTGAATTTAACAAATATTATTTCTGTATCTTAGAGGTCACATGGTATGATGTTTGTAAAAAGTCCCGGATTGGGTACCACAGTACCTAGATTATTGACTTTGTTTCCCATTAGCCGAGGGATTGTGCATCTCAGTGCCCATATTTCTTTGCATTTTCACATTTTTGATATGTTATTTGATGTGTTGAATCAAAATATAAAAAGGGTATTTTTTCAGTGCTAAGAATCTTTTTTTTTTTGGAAACAGAGTCTCCCTTTAACCCCCAGGCTGGAGTTCAATGGTGCAATCTTGGCTCACTGTAATCTCTGCTTCCCGGGCTGAAATAATTCTCCAGCCTCAGCCTCTTCTGAGTAGCTGGGATTATAGGCACCTGCCTCCATGCTGGCCTAATTTTTGTATATTTAGTAGAGATGGGGTTTCACCATGTTGGTGAGGCTGGTCTTGAACTCCTAACCTCAGGTGATCTGCCCGCCTTGGTCTCCCAGAGTGCTGGGATTACAGGTGTGAGCCACTGCACCCAGCTGCTTTTTTTTTTTTTTTTAAGACAGTATTTTGATTTGTTGTGCAGGCTGAAGTACAGTGATGCCGTCACAGCTCACTGTAACCTGGAATTCCTTGGCTTCACGCAGTTTGGTCTTGAACTCCTGGGCTCAAGTGATT